GGGAAATCTTTGATCAGATACGTGTGCCATGCTACGTGCTTTTCTGCGGTGTCTAGGTCCACACTTGGTCCCCATGTGTCTTGCGATTCAATGATCTTTTTCTGGATCTCCTTGTTGCGCGCGAAAAGCGCCCAACCTGTGTTAGTGGGTTTGATGTCTTGGATGTCTTGGGTGTCGAGTGCGAGCTTTTCCTTGAGTGCCAGTCGGATCTGGAAGCTGTTCTTCTCGAAGAAGCTAGACCCCTCCTTGAGACGGAGGAGAATTCGTCGGTCTGCGTAGTTGCTGGCAGCGACAGGTTGTCGACGGGTAGGAGCGATGCGCACGTCCCCTGGTGCTTGGCGCGCTGCCGCTTTGGTGACGTCGGCGAAGGTCACTGATTTCTGGCGAGGTAGCTGGTTGTCAGTTGGCGGCCGTTTTTGTTTAGCTGGTGCTCTCGTTTGTAGGAGGTCGTTGCTACATCCTGTTGTGTCCCCGGAGTGGAGGAATCGATTCCAGTGGTGAAGCAGGGACCTGGTGAAGTCGTTGGCGACAGCGTGGGCGTAGCCGTGGTCAAATTTTCTTGCGCAAGCGGCGATGGACTCCGCAAAGGTGCGTAGAACGTCGGCTCTAGTCGTCATACGTTCCTTCTCTCTAGCGATTATTTTGCGTGTCTCGGATTCTAGGTCCATGGCGTCAAGCGCGTCCACAATTTCGTCTTCTTCGTCGGCGAGAACCCTGTAGTAGTTGGCGTTTGGATTCACGTCTCTCCCGAGGTGTCGGCGTTGTCTGTGACCAGTTTTGGCGGCGCTTGTCGAGCGTCGCACTGGGCTACTGCTGGGCAAAAAAGGGCGGGTTGTTACCGGAGCGGCGCCTCTCATGAGCTCCTCCTGTGCATCATGATGGAAGCCTTCCGGGAAGTGTCGGCGGCCCCTTGCGCCGGTCGCGGGCGTAGACGATTGGCCAATCGCCATTGCCTGCGGCTGCGCAAGAGCGCTGAACGGTTCGCTCGGTGCTGATGTCTACTGGGCGTGCGTTTGGGTGTCTGAAAATTCTCTCTACAAAGGTGGGTACCAGTGTAGATGTAAGAGGAAGGTGGTACGCGACGACAAGCGAGCAAGTGTTGGGTACAGCGCTGCAGGGTAGTTAGCCCCACCCAGCCTTGTGCGTAGACAATCGCGTCTGATTGTGGGTCAACCGATATTACCACTCAACAGACTGTACGTCCGCGGCAGTTTACTCACCAGTCCTTACGGCCACTGTAACTGAGACTATTGAAAAGTCTTTCAGTGATTAGAGGTCCCATAGTCAAGCTCCATTGTGGCCATTGTATCTGTAAGGAGTTATTTAGCTACCCTGCGTCACACCTCTTAAATTTAGCGCGCGTTATGACAGCTAAAACTGGTGTTCGCTACTAGTGGGCATCCTGGCCTATCACACTTGCTTTTCGTGCGGCAACTTGGTAAAGCGGAAAGAGGATAATGAACCTTTTCGTCCATTGTGCTCTGGCCGTTCAATACAGAGCTTTGCAAGCGACCACTACTTGACCTTTTTCTACGCCGCGCTGGAAAAGGCTCTCCTAGCATGCTCCACGTAGTTGGTTCGTCCACTTCCTCACTGGCTGCTTTCGCTCCACTTTCGTTCTTTTTC